ACCAAGAACGGGTGCCCCATTGGCCCCAAACATAGGGTGGGTTTTTTTTTTTTTTTTTTTTTTTTTTTGCACTGAATCTCCTGGCCAGATCAGTTTGTATTAAACTGTAAATTCAGGTATGATACCAAAAAGGTTTATCAAAAATCAATAGTGAGGAAGGGAGGTTGCCAATGCTGGGAGTTTCTCTTTATAAAAATTTGTCCAGTGGGTAAGATGACAAACCTCAGTTACCCATCGCACCTCTTAGGCTTGTAAGAAATTGATCGGGCTTCCTTGTAGAGAGCAAAGTAGCACTTAAAGGTCAGCTGTAGTCCTGATGGTGAGAGGGGTTTGGATTTTTTCCAGGAAGGGCTCAAAATGACGGGAAGAAAAGGAATAGAAAAGCGATGTGTTCCTGAGAGGTAATCTGCATGTTAAAGACCAGGGGGAAAACTGCGCCTGGTGGGAATTGGGGTTTAATTGGCTCTGAAGTAGAGGGGGATCAATTAAACCTCAGAGTTGCAGGGAAAGAGAAGGGACATAAGGGAAAAACGGCAGGGAAAAAAAAAAAAAAAGCAAAGGTCTGGAGAGGGAGCTGGTAGGGTGCCGGGAAGAAAAAAAGACACAGTGGGCTACTATTGATAAGGTGCACTGAGGCCCTTTAATTCTACCGCAGGACAATTTCTCACAGAGTTGTAATTATGTGTCTGACATTTCCAGGGAAATTTCATAATTTCTTTTATAAATCAGGGCTGGTGTGAGTTTTGAGGCCTCAGAGTTTGGATGTGAGTTTACAGAATTACTTGTCTGAAATTAGCATGGGGGGCTTTTGACAACTCAAAATTAAGCTGGAGGCACAGGAGAAGATCAGCTCCACAATTTAGAGTGGGAAGGGAGAAACATGACAGGTTGATGTAGTGACTAAAACTCCCCACAATCCTTCCTCCTGCACAATACGGGTCCTGCCTGGGTGGTGGTCAGGACCCATTGGCCGCAAATGCAACAGTTACAAATGTGTATGCCCAGCTATCAATTCCAGTCTGATGCTATTACAGAGAGGAAAAAAAAACAAGAAGACAATTTTGTGTTTGTTCTAAACTTCACTCTGATGTGCTTCTTTTTCATCCTTTCCGTTGGGCAAATATTGATTCGTACGTATAAGATGGCAAAATGCCGCTTACGTTTTTGGCTGCGTCAGGAGAGAAAGTGATGCTGTCCAGGAAGCGGATGGCATCTGCGGGGACTAGTCTGTCCAGGTACTTGGCACAGGTGTCGTAAGCATGCAGGTAATCCTGATCACTGTGTGGGGGTCGTTTCATCAGCTGTGGATCTCCTTTCCAAAACAATTTCTGCAGCCACACTGCGTGAACTGCGCTGGCGGAGACCGTCGCATTGCCACCTCCGGGCAGAGGCAGCCGATTGGCGAGTTTAGAGATGGACAGAACATTCTGACTGGTCAGGACCGGCTGTAATGTGGCCAGTGGATCAGACGACTCATCAGTCAGCTTTTTGTAGTTTACACCTGCAAACACCAAGGATAAAACAAACGAACAAAAAAAACAAACTGTGAAGTATATTTTATATTATAAAACTGGCTCGCCTTTCCCCATCCAGCAACTCTTTGACACAATTATGTTTTGTTGAATATCAAAGCAGTCTTGCATCAAATGTTAGCAGTAATTTGAAAGAAAATCCAATGGGAAGCAAATAAAATGGACTCATTTGTAAACAAACAAAAAAAAAAAGTTTGTCAAAAACTAAACACTTAATAACCCATCTCAAATGGGTTACGAGAAACCCATTTGGAAAGTGAAAAATTATAATTAATTTAATTGTGTTTGCACTGTATTTTGTAAATTTATATGGTTTGGGGGGGATTGATTCTTTTCTTTATCATAAACTGCATTTTTACTACATTTTAAGGTTAGATCTAAGTCATTTTAAGACCTTGCAAAGTTAATGTATACAATACAAATTGGATTAGATCTCTATGGGACAGCCTGGATTAATAAAGGGTAAACAAAAATACACAAACAGAGAGTACACTTACTTTTATAAATACAATTGGCCAATTTAAAACATTTGTTGGCATCAAAAGTAAAAAAAAAAAAGTCAATTATGTCTCAAGCCTTTATTGACATTTTTTTAAATAACTTATTTTTCCTCTACAGTCTCAGTAGCAATGTGACTTACTGATCAGAACCGGTCCATCTGCAGCTGTAAAACTCTCTACCACTTGATCTGTTGTTTGAAATCTTTGCAAAAATCATTCCTCTGGCATGTTTAGCTAAATCTTGTTGCTTAACTCAGAAGAGGTTTTTCTTTGCCATCTTTTACCTCGACCATGTCTCTGGTCACTCGTCACCTCGTACTTCTGGAAAGACCACGTAGGCGGAGGTACTTATAGAGGCTGTCGCTGAAGGATAATGGGTTCTACCCCGCTTCCTGTTAAACTTTTCTTCTTTTTCCTGTTAATTTCTACATTCTCCCCCTCCATGACCATTTTTATGAATAGAGCGTTAAAGCTGTCAAACACATTTTTATTTTTTTTTTTAAATGTACGACCTTTTATTATATGCTAATCCTCATTCTGGGCTCCATTTAAAAAGGGGAATGGAGCTGCTTAATTACTATGCACACCTTAGATAAGGTGTTAATCTGTTAAACCACAACCCTACTTGAATATAAATGTGTTTTACTTGAAACAATGGAAATTCATTTAGCATTCAGTTTACTATGCTGCATAGCTGGAAGAAAGAGCAAAAATATACAAATAAGTTCAAAATCTCTGGTTTCATAACTGTATTTGCCGGGTAGATAAAGTAGTTTCAACATTTCATTGCACAGTAGGTGCAGGTTTATGTGGTGTTAATTCATGGGGTGTGAATAGCCAATGTGCTTCAAAATCATATGAGAAAAGCTTACATGTTAAAACAATGTTTAACAACCTATAACATATCCAAAATACATAAATGCTGATCTGGATAATAAAGACAGTTGCGTGCTGAAGCAGTGCTGTCTGATCGTGCACAAGTACATCTGCATCACGTCCACCACTGCGGCATGGCTCGAGCATGTTTTTATCTCTGTGTTTACGGGAACGAGCCGTTGAGACGTTCGAGGTCTCCTGTGCCATCAGACAGACACATTACAGTGGCAACACCGCTGCCTGTCTGGATGTTAAATATTTAATACTCTCCTGTCTGTGGAGAGCTCTTCGTCGCACGGCTCAGAAGGCTCCCTTCTGAGCCGTGTGAAAAATAAAAAATATATGTAAAAAATATTGATGAAACAATAAAAAAAAACATCAAGCACATATAAAAATTTATAAAATCAGAAGATCAAACACTTTTATATTACCGCTACACAGAACACCTAAACCGCAGATAAGAGTTACATGCACTTACACATGTCCTCTCATTCTCACTGTCTGGCTCTGCTCAATGCACCTTTTCACTGCTTCTGTTTCAGTCTCCTGCATGGGGGATGTCATCAGCTTCCTTCCTACACTCAGACAATCATCTGGTACACTGTCTGATGACCATGGGTGAAAGTAGTTTTAAATTCTTGGGGGTACTATGACAAAAAAAAAAAAAAAAAATATATATATATATATATATATATATATAGCTTCTTTGTGTGTTTTGGG